CTCTCTCTCTCTCTCTCTCTCTCTCTGTCTCTCTCTCTCTCTCTCTCTCTCTCTCTCTCTCTCTCTTCTCACGGGAATTCGCGTACCGTTCCCCTCAATTCTCGACATTCATGAGTATTTCGGGATTAATCGATAATTTCTCATATACATTGTGGTATGAGGAATTTGATGACCTCACTGGTGTTTGAGTTAATCGACCAAATTAATATTTGTATTATATAAGAGAATTCAAATGATTATTTCCGATTCAAGTTGTTTTTTCCATTATTGCTATTTAATTAGTTATTATTATACCTTTTTTTTTTGGTGAGATCAATGCGAAGATAAAATCATGTAAATTATTAATTTTCAACTTTCAATAGTGAAACACGTAAGGACGATGTCGATTTCTTTTCCTTTTTTGTAGTTTTGGCCACCCAATACCCGTTTCCACCTGAAATCCACCCCTCTCTCCACAACCTAGCACAATGAGCGAACCAAGGACCGTTACCTTTCCCCAGAAATCTAGTTTTCTCCCTTTTTGAGTACATTTTTGAGGTTTTGGAATCAATTAAAATTGGTTTTGTAGATTCATCCGGTTTGGTAATTCCGGCTAAAAATTACCTGGCGCCTATAGATTTTTGCATTTTTGAGTTTAACTAGATGAATGGGAAGAAGGGCAAAGGTAATAGCCATTTTTAACCCCCATACGAAAATGTCACGTTACAAAATTATGATCATCGAGAATGAGACTTGCAATATAATAATGCATAAGTTAGCTCTAACGTCAGCCCTACCCTCCCACCCCCCTCAGATTTCAATGTTGCCACTTATTTCTTTTTATTATTCAATTAGGATAACAGGTAACGAGGGGAAAAAATTACTAAATAAAATTCTCAATTCTTCATCATTCACGAGAATTGATCAAATCTTCGGGATAGTAATTTGCCTATAGTGGATAATAAATTTCGGTCATGTGAGTGCGTTTGCATTTTTTTGATTGGCTGGGTTTGGCACTGACCACGCCTGCTATTTTCCCAATTCGTAGCGATGGGCATCACAGGTCCTTGTTCTCAGTACATTGCTCGCTGAGACGCGGCGTCGACACCGTGGTGAAGTTCATCAGAGTTCTGATTATGGTTTGTGTTTGATTGAAAGTATTAGTTTCGATTTAGAGGTGTCGATGAGGTAAGTAAAAACGTATATTCATATTCTGAGATATTAATGATGAGATATTTTTCTATATTTGGTATTAAATGGTATAAACTTCTACAACCACAAAAAGTTCTTGTAGAATTTTTCGAAAGTCAGTGGTTTCGTCTCCTTCCATCACACTTCTCTTAAATGTAAGAATTTGCAGAAAATTTTGACTAGAAGATGGATCACTCCAATGTGAATCTAATCTCTTCATGGTTTGAAGGGCAAATGGACAGAATGGACAGAATGGATTACATCGAATCCACCGAGTGAAGACGAAGAAATGAGGGATGCTCCAGCTCCGACTTCTCCAAACCAACCCTGGCAACTTAGTATCCTCGCTGTTACGAGGATGTAGCGAGGATGTAGCGAGGATGTTATTTTAATGTGAAAAAGGCCGAGAATGACATTAATAGGATCCGAAAGTTTCACCACTCTATTACTAAACCAATTCTACAAAGAAAAAACTCGAAAAAATCTCCATCGAGAGTTCATTCCACTTCCAAAAATCCCCAACCCCGATCTTGAGCTGATAAATTACTTTACCACCCTCTCTGGCATTTTCCGACTTCCACACACCCCCACATCTTCCATTCTCCTTTCTGTCTCATTCACGTGTGTGGGTGCATCGCTATCAGACACGTGAGACGATTTAAACCGCTACGGAAATGTGTTATCTTGCGGGGATAATGAAATAGGATATTTCTGGATTTTCTATTGTTTGAGTTCAACAGAGTGGAAATAGTCTCACGATAATTCTCACATGAGTCTATTCAAAATGTTTTAATTTAATTTCAAATTAAATATGGGGCTAAAAATCCGTAAATTTTTATTCTCTCGGGAATCGTGAGTCGAGTTTACATGAAATGTCAGTGAAAATAACAGTCTTTCAGTGCTGTTCTTGAAATTGGGATAGTTGGTTCATTGGAGTTCCTTTCGGATTGCCAATGCACCCTCCCCCTCCCCCCACCCAATTAATTTATCAGATCAGCTACAAAAAAAGTTGAAATACATTTTCCTCTAGGACCAGTCGTTTTTTAGATATTCTGAGAACAAAAATTTTGGATTATTTGTTCAAGTATCTTGTAAAGGAGTGATTTTGGACAAAAATGTCAAAAAAAAATTTTATAGGAAATTTTCTCCGCTACAAAAAACCGGTAAACGCATTTTCCCTTAAAACCACTCCATTTCGAGATATTTGTGGAAAAATAGAAAAAAATATACACTCTCTAAACAATTCAAGAGTGAAGGAGGCAAAAAAATAGAGAGGATAACGGGGGAATTATATTCTCCTGTGTGATGATTTTGGGTGGGGCTTTCGACACATCTTTTCGAAATCTCGTTTCCTCTCGAGTTCTTTGAACGAAGCCAGAGCCCTGGGATCCTTAGTGAATTGATGATATTCGTTCATCAGGTGAGCACAAAAATGAATCCTCAGGGCTTTGGTCGTCCTCCGGATATCCAGAGACTCGTAGGAAGTGAGATCCTCCCAAGTGCTTGTCCTGTCAGCGAAAGCTATTTTATTGTTGTCGATAAGATACTGCACCATAATCTTCTTGTCTCTACGAGAAAATCTGTTGCTCGTCCGTTGTGTGGGTGGAGGAGTTGGGGGTCTGGAGATGATGGACCCTGGCTTTGAACTACTGCTCAGCCAGACGGCAGCATCATCATCGTCAGAGTCCAATGTTGGTGGCTGTTTACTGGGACCTGGGAGGTTCAGAAGGATTGGAGATAGTGGGGGGCGTGCTGGTTGAACCTCACTGGGACCAGTTTCATCAGTTTCACCAGTTTGCTCAGGATCTTCATTTTCCTCGATATGGATCTCTGCTCTTCCAACACTGTCTCTCTGCTCCTCGAGAGTTTTAGATTTTACCTCGGCGTCCCAATTGACGTGGATGTTGGAGATTGAGGTACCAAAAATGGAAGATTCGTACGCGTCTGAGTCACTCATCTTGAGATCAATCGGAGAAATCTCTGTAATAAAAAAAAATTCCTTCCAAACATTTTTTATAATATTTTGTCAACATATTTTGTCTACTCTATTTCTAAAGAATTAACTTGGTTTGGTGGGTTGAAATAGAAACGGAAAAACATTAATTATTAGTTGAAAAGAAAACAGAAATTCTTTTAAATACTCGCGATTTCAGATGGATATTTCATTAATGAAATAATTAATTAATTTTTAATTATTTTTTTTTCGAGTCTATCAGCATGTGAATTATCAATGCAATGGCAGAGAGGTACTGGAGAATCCAGGACAAGGGATTAAAAAATCTGGAGGAAACTCAAGAGAAACTGTTGCAGAACAGAATTCAGAGGAAGAGAGCTGAGAGTTTGATGAAACTCTCTCAATCCACCTCAATAAGCGATGGATATCCTGATGATGCACAACGACCTAGAAACATCCTAAGGGGTATCCTCCATGTCTTCATCAAGTCCATCAACCGTCCCCCCGAGTGAAGAACTTAAGAGCAATCCTTAAGCAGAAAGAACTCCAACAGAAACCCCAAACGACGTATACTCTGACATCGAGTCTACTTCGTGCAGTCAAAGATTAATGAAGGCATCACGAAAGTACAATTTGAGTGAAGCATCATCATCAAAAGCTGTTGACTCCCCCAGAAGATATCCAAACCCCTCGAAAACTCCAGAGGATTCTCCAAAAAATCCCCTAGACCAGACCTACGTCAATCCACAGAAACCAAAAAAGAAATTCCGAAAGAGTTTCTTCATACAGAAGCAAAGATCCTCAATCGTCTCTCCCCCATCATCTCCAGCTCCCAAGTCCCCAAACCCAAAGAGAACAACCCCAAGAACCACCAAACAGACACCTCGATGCTCCATGAAGATCCTGAACCCCAGGAATCCCCCAAAAATAAACTTTGACGATAACTCCATCCCCCAGAAGAGGAAAAAGCCGTCCCCCAGAGGCTGTAACTCCACTGACGACGAGAACTACCCCCACATCGAGAAAAAGGCAAAAAGCCTGAGAAAAAAAAGGAAATTGTTCCATCTGAGTGATTCCATCGAGGATCTGTCGGAGTTCCTGGAGGAATCGACTGAAAGACACTCGGAGAAGCCAGAGATCAAGAAGAAACCCCGAGTTATTCATGTGGAGTACTACAAGTCTCATAAGCCCGTCGTCCCAAGTCTCCAGGTCAATAACCCTGAGGATAAATCATCAACGGAGGTGAACCTTACAGGATTGTACTCAGACCTGGATTTTTTGACCCAGGCTAATGTTCGTAGTGATTTAAACCCTTCACCTGGGGGTCGAGACACTTCAGAGACTTCAACATGCACTCAAAATCCTTTAAGAGAGTCAGAAAACATGGAGGAGAGTCAAGACGGGCCATCAGACCCTCAGAAATCATCATTAGAACGTTCAGAAACTACTTTCGAAAATCATTGTCGGTTGATCACAAATCGTTCATTAAAAAATGATGATATGATGTGCCCCAAGACCATCATCACTCAGTGATTTATCGAAGAGAATTGGGAGGAGCTACGAGACATTTTCCACGTGATTCCTCAGCGAAAGATAGTGCAGTCATTCTTCCCTGAAGTGACTGATAATAAATTTCCAAAGATTTCGCGTGGTAGGGGGAACAATGAGCGAATGGTAGATTCGATACGAAAACCCAATTAAAGTGATTGTGAAACGCAGGTAAAAGGGATAAAAGGAAATAGCTCAAAGTCTATTCTATTTTCTAATTCGACACGTATACTGGTTAATTTAATTTCTCGCCTCCTTTGTCAATGTCAATTCGGTCGAACGATTTTTCTTATGGAAAGAGTTCCTTTATATTTCTTATATAAAGGGACTCTCTAGTTCAATTTTATTTTTGTTTTGGCGGTTTTTCAGTTTTTATTTTTCATTTTTCTTCTCCTTCTTGGGGACACTTTTTTTTTACTTTGAGAGCCGCTGTCGAGAATGCTCGGATATCTTGGTAATCTTCGTTGTGGAAAAATCTGATTGTACGAATTGTCTTTTTGGGGTTTAGATAGGAGGTAAATGGGTGAAAAATTTAGTTTTAAACTTGTGTTGAGATGACACGACACAACTACCTCAGTGAATTCATGTACAATTGTTGTAATAAATGAAGACAAGGGAATATTTATAATATGTATTTATTATTAATTATTAGTATCTTTATATATCAGCATCACACACAACCGTCCATATCCAACTTGACTTAATAACCGACTTTTTCCATCCGCCATATTCCAACTACCTCAATTCACCTCATGCCCATCGGGGGCAGCACATACCAATAAAGTACGAATGTATACTATATAGAAAACAACAATCACCAGATTCTACAAATTTACTCAAATCCAGGATTAATAAAACCTAAAAATCCCGGTATTTCCCTCCAATCTCCTAATTTTTATCTCAAACTTGGCAATCTGCACTCTCCAATTGCCCCGATCCCGATCTCCCCCAAAAATACATTCCATCAAAAGACATTCCCCATCTCCATGTATTCCCATAAAAAAAACTCGAATCATTCACGAGAGAAGTACACACCGTTGACTGAAAGACTTTACTATCCACCAATTCCCATTTCCCGGTGTATCTGAACGCACTCGTAGCCCCATCATTTCAATTGTGATAACAATGGTGTATAAAATTCATGAGAAAAGGACTAAATATACCCTGCAAAAGTTTTTATGATAGTTTTTACCACAGAACGCGAAGGAGAATAATGAAATCCATGAAATAAAGAAAAAAGTCCAGTCCATTCAAGAAATTCACTGAGAAAATATTTCAAAAACAAAAAAAAATCTATTCCATAATAACTTTATTATTTATCTGTATTTTATCACTTCTGAATGAAATATCAATCGAAAAAGATGGCAGTTGCACTACACAGGACAGTGAAAAAAAACGAAATGAATGCTCGACAACACCGTCTTCGTTGGTATGAATCTGATTGGTTGATGACAAGATATTGAAGAGCCTGTAGAAAATAGTGATTTGAAGCGAATTGAATCATTTATGATTCAACAGAAGGGAACTCCAAAGAACTTTTTTTATATGATGAAATTTTCGATAAAAAAAAATCTCTATGATATTTCTTGTGTATTTCAATCATTAGTGGTATAATGCGATACTTCATTAGTGCTAATTACTATCCACTGCCGCTTTACCACTAAATTAAATAGTTTTAAATAATTATTATGCTTGTTAAACAGTTTCAAATCATTATTATCGAAAGGTCTAAAACTATTCTACATAATTTTCACAAGTGTCCACAAGTTTGCTTCTGCAATGAATTCAGAAAATGAAAAAATGGGAAAGTCCAGTCTAAAATATTTTGCAACAATCTCGAGAATTACGTGTAAAATTCTCTAGAAAACATATTTCCAGATGTACTGATTACCCGAAGAAAATTGGAAACGCGTGAGAAGCGTGAAATCCTTCCGAATTCCTCCAAAACTCAAAAAAATCGCACGATGACAACGAAAAATTCTTCAAGACTCCCCCGAAACTTCTCTCCACATCCACGACTTCTCCATTATCTCCATTTAGCTCAAAAAAAAATCCTAGAACTTCCCCAGATTCGATAGTCCCCTCGAAACAGCTCGAAACCTGCGAGAACCGTTAAAAAAATCCAAATTGTATCTTCCTGAATATGTCCACCACTCCCACCACCTCCTCACTCTTCTATTTATCCTCAGAGAGCTCTGAAATAGCCCCTCAGACTCGAGCTTCCTCTAAAAAAATCCTGACAAATTCTTTCGAAACTCCAAGAATCTTTTCTGGACGTCTCCAACATCCCCTGACTCTCTCCTCACTCAAAAATCTCCTAAAATCGAATTTAGCTATCGAAAACACCAGCAAAATCCTTCAGAAGACCAACGCTTTCCTCAGTCGCTCAACCCCTCAAAAAATAATTATTCAATTTTCCTAAAAATGAATAATGAATTTTGTTCTTTTTGTTTGACGTTGACTGCACGATTCATAATTCAATGTGTGGATTAATCATGTCAGGGACACACTTTCATAGCCTGAAAATAATTTCCAAATCTTTTTTCTTCCGATTTCTGTGAGGATAAAATAATCGAGATGCGTTGTCGCAATAAATGGAATATATCTTATAAATAGACACTTCCGTCATTCGATGAACGACTATACGTGAGGGCTTCAAGAAATTATCATTGGAGACAATAACTTATGTAATAATACAACCTGGTTCATATTGTACCACAGGGTACAGATTTTTCCGAATTATCGATGAACCTTGAACCGATGTCGTGACTGTGGAATCCATAAGCCACAACCCTGAAAAATTAGATTATTTAGAGAATATCATCGAAATATAAACTTCACAAGGTAGGAAGGAGACAGATCAACAAAATCGATGAGGGAATGCCAGAGAGTACACCTGAAGGAGGAAGGATTTGGAGAGTGGAAATTCGACGACAGAGGCGAAAAACAACTATGGGAAAGGAATCAGGGATGATTGTTGATTATTATTATTGATAAAAAAAAGATATTGAATAGCTAAAACAATGTTAGAATTGACAAACTAGCAATCAAAACACCGGAGAGAAGAAGAATAGCTCTGAAGAAAAAGAAGAATAGATGTAAATCTCAGGGAAATGGGAGGATTCGTATATAAAATAATAGATAAACAAAAACTCTCGATGGATAATCATATGTCCCTCGAATAGAGTAATATTAATATATTATTCGATGAACAAATCGAATCTGGATTCACGTAATTGTAGTGATAATATAAAGAGTATAATCAAACGTTTACACTAGTTCATCGGATGTTATTCGTTATGATTATCTAGAAATTAACAACAATGAATTTTATTACCTGAGGAACTGCGTGATTTTCGCCAAAGGTTTTTTTCATACATTTTGACAGCTTGATCGAACATAGGATACGTTTTCATATGACTCGATGCACCTGTAAGGTGTCGATTGATCATGGTACACCAGTTGATGATGAAATGATTCGTTATGATTTTTACAATCATCTCATGGAGATACTTCTGATGCTCGGGATTATCACACATTATCCAATCACTTTTGATCCCTTCTAATACTTTCTGAATCAGTACAGTAGTTATTTTGGGGTAATGACAAACTCTGACCATCATGGTGTTGAGATATTCAATTATTCTGGGATATATCAAGTCGAACTCTCATTTTTTGTTCTGACAAAATTGTGATCTGTGAAACGTGAGCTGACATTGATAACATTTCTCGACGATACTCTTTGTGATTGGAGCCCTGAATAATTCATCTTTGATTTTATCAATAGATTCAGTGAGAATTCCTAGAGCGTCAGTGACATTTTGTGGATTAGACAGCCATTGGAAGGGATTTTCAGAGTACTCCTCAGCGCCTGACTCAACGCGGACAGTATCCCTTGGACCTCCATTATTGCTGACTAGCAAGCTTTCCGATGTAAATGGAAACTCTGCATCACTTGTGCCCTCACAGTTTGAACCTTCCCTTTCTTCTTTGGACAAATTACAAATGAGGAGTGTTTTGAAATTCCCGGTGAATTGCCAGCATGATGGATTTACGTAGCGAGCTCCTAAGGCACGAATGGACCCAAAAAAATTTTCCAATGGATCCTGACTGATGTATTTTGATTTGAATTCCTCAAATCCTTTCTCCTTCAAAAGTTTCCATAACTTCTGAATGCCTTTAATGCTCTGTATCCAACTGGCTATCGCTTGACATTGGTTGTTTGGTTTCCTTAAGGTGGTCGGATCAACATACTGCATTCTACGGAGTTTCTCTTTGGCTTCTTCCCAGAACTTGTGATGAGAACTAGTAGTAGTGACCACACTCCGCAATGGTGGCTTATCTGGAGTAAGGGGTGATTCTCCATTGAAGGAATCAAACACATCATTGAGGAATTCTAGGGTTTCTGCTGTGTCGGCTCCCTCTCTTTTTCCAATTGGAGTAACATCCGTAAACAGTCCCACGTAATCTTAAAGTCCAACTAAAATTAATATTCAAACTGAATAATAATCTTTAAGGTAATTCGAGGGTTTAGGGGACGAGTACGAGTTGCAAACCGACTTCAGATAATGATAATTATTTGATACCTAAATGAGGCGTTACTAAGAAAATTTTTTATGGTGGTTGGTGATTGAGGGAGATGAGAATTTAATTTCATCAGGGAGTCTATTGATAATAATAATAATAATAATAATTTTTTAATATTTAAATATTTGATGGGTATCCGCTATATCACAGGGAAAATGGTGAGGGAGTTTGATTTCTGGCTAATAAAATTCAGCGCAACTGAGGAGTACTGATAAATTTCGATGGTATTACTGCCATAATCGTTGTCTGAATGTGGTATTTATTCGGTTGGTATTGAGGCTGAAGGGGAATTCTGGGAATAATTAGAGAACAAAGATATGAAGAGGTAAAAGTTTAGTCCCTTTTTGTAGAGAAATTGATCATCGATGCATTCAATTATGAACCCAATTATCAATAAA